ATCATGCTGATCGGGTACTATTGGCCGTCCCTCCAGCTAGACTGTGAAAAGTTAGCTCGGAAATGTGAGACGTGCCAACTGTTTGCCCGGATGCCTGGACGACCGGCAACCTTCTATCAGCCGGTCACGACTGCAATTCCCTTTGCTAGGTGGGGGGTTGACATCTTGGGCCCCTTCCCACAGCTCTCCGGTCGGAGAAAGTTTGTGATTGTCGTCATCGATTACTTCTCCAAGTGGATAGAGGCCGAGCCCTTAGCCACGATCACCTCTCAGCAGTGTGCTCGGTTCCTTTGGCGCAATGTGATTTCCCGCTTTGGCGTGCATGTGCATCTCATCAGCGACAATTGCCGCCAATTTGTAAATAGTATTTCCAAAACTTCTTGGCCACGATCGGGACGACTTACGTCCGGTCGTTGGTGGCTTACCCGCAGGGGAATGGGCAGGTAGAAAATGCTAACCGGACGATTTTGGAAGGTCTGAAAAAGAAGCTACACTCGGCCGGTCGTAGTTGGGCCGATGAGTTGCCATATGTATTGTGGACTTATCGGACGACCCCGAGAGAGGCTACTTTGGAGACCCCTTTCGCCCTGGTTTATGGAGCAGAAGCCCGACTCCCGATCGAGGCTTGGATCCCGACCGATCGAGAGAGAACTTATAACGCGGAGGAGAACGAACATGCGATGGTCGTGGATCTCGATGGGGTTGAAGAGAAGAGAGAGCTAGCCGCTCGGCGTATGGCCGAGTATCAGAAGCGAGTCAAGAGTTCAAAGGACGTCCGGGTCAACCCTCGCTATTTTCAGGTGGGAGACTACGTTCTACGACGAAGGGAGGCCAGTCAACCTTTGGAAGGAGGGAAACTAGCTCAAAATTGGGAAGGGCCGTACATCATCAGCGCTATCATACGGCCGGGGACATATCGACTGGAGACAACAACCGGTCGGGTAATCGAGGGGACTTGGAATTCCGAGCACCTCGTTATTGGACGAGTTGGGGGCTCGACCTGCGAGTTAGTCCCGGTCGTCATTTGTATTTAAATTTATTGTTGTAAATATTTGTTCAACTGCCTGTGAGCGAGAAGGTTTAATGTATATACGATCGGTGATTGCTCGACCGTTTGCATACGGCGGCCCGGTCGGTTATTTCCTTTACCTTCATTACGCGCAGATCAATCCCTCATCAAGTTACATCGACCGGGCGAGTTTATCGACCGGTCAAATGCGCTCCTCTTCGGCGGACATCTAGGTCACGCCACTGATCGGGAAAGCCAGGAGCTCTCAGCACAATTCCCCAATCCGTCCAACTTCTTTCCACTATCGCACTCACTCGTGCCTCGAGGGCACAATAGTGTGGGGGCTGGGATGAAGGAAGTGTCTCTAGGCCCGTCGCTCGGGAAAATCCCGACCGTGGAGGCTTACCTATTTTCAAATTTTTGACAAGGCCTAGAGATCGAGTGAACCCGATCGGGTTGGCCAGTTTGACGTCGAAATCTCGGATGCACGACCGGGCCACAAGGCCATAAGGTCGGGTGTCGAATGAGTCGAGTAGTGCAGGACCGGGCCAAAAGGCCACAAGGTCGAGCATTAAAGGTCGGCACACGCATGACTAAAAATAAAAGTGCGAAAAAAGAGAACGAGCACAACAAGTTGGGCAAAAGAACAAATTTTATTGATTTAAAAGAGAGCGCCCGGTACAAATTCGGGACCGGGCTCCCGATTAAAGTCATTACAAAAAGAAGTATAGCTTTCTCTACTTCTTCACTTCCCGAGCTCCACCCTTCTCGGAAGGCTCTTTCCCGCTTGAAGTGGCCGCCGTGGATCCGCTGGGTTCGGCCGCCTTGTCTTTTGGGGCGAAGGGAGAGGGACCGGGATCGGCCGAGTCCGGAGGAAGCACCGAAAGGACCAACTGGAGGTCGTCCCCTTCAAGGGCCTGCTCCATCCGATTCCGGGCCCGCTCGAGCATCTTCCGCTGCCCAGCTTTAAAGGCCCACCGACCGAACGATAGGATCAGGTCCTCCCCGACCTTCGTTCCCCGGGCTGCCGTAAGGAATGCTGAGCCCGTCTCACTGTCCTTAAAGACGGACTGGACCAGCTCGTTCGGGTTATCGAGTCGGGCTTTCAGCTCTTTGGCATCCCCGATCGCCCGTTGGGCGACCTTCTCCGCCAGGACCCGATCTTCCTCGCTCTTCTTCAGGTCCTTTTGGACCTTCTCCAGCTCGGCCTGGATGTCCCGGACTTCTTGAAGGTGTCGAGCGGCGGCCTTCTTATGGCGGTCGGCTTCTTCGGCCAACATGGCCCGACCTTGCAGAAGCTGGGCCGCTCAGGAAATCTGCAATGTAAAAGACGCTTAAAGTCCGCCCGTTTAGAGATACTTGCATAAAAAATAAAATCAGTTGGAGAACGCTTACCTCGGCCAAGTCGTTGCCGATCCTCTCGGCCACTTGAGTCGGGGTCATCTTCCCCAGGTCCTCTCTGACTGGCCCGGCGTTGCCGATACGGGCCAGTATGGACGGCTCGTCCTTGTTTCGCCCGGTTGAGGGGCTCGGGCTGCGTTGCTCTCGGCGGCGCTTGATACCGCCCACCTCGGTCACGCCCTGCTCGGGCACTTTCTCCTTGCCCCGGGCGACTTCCACCCGAGTAACAAGGACGTCGGTCGGCTCGACGACAAAGCCTTCGGCCGTCGTGATGGTCGAGGCACTTATGGGTCCGGCCGTAGGGACCTCCTTCTGCCCAGCCGGTTTCGCCTTCGGCTTCTTCTTGCCGCCAAGGGAGATCTTGGCGGTGGGGGAAGAGGAGCGTCATCATCTCCAAACTCTGCCATGGCTGTAAACAAAGAAGAAAGTTAGTTAGGTCGGGAAATTAAAAAAATGCTCGGGGAGTTACAATCGGGAGGAGTTAGCTGGTGTTAGACCTTTCTTCTTCCGTTTGGACGGCTTGGCGACCGTCACGCCCATTGGAACGGGCAGATACTTCTCCGGCAGGTCGTACACAGGGGGCGGGAGCTTAGCCGCCTCGAGACTCTCGACCGTCCGGAAAATCGTGTACTCGTGAATTTCGCTCGAGATCCGAGCGACTGTGTCCTTAAGCGCCTGTGTCTCGACCGGCACGACTTGTTTCCGGTAGTGAGTGCTCCAAGAACGGTCAACCGGGAGGATCCAAGGATCATACTTGATGGAGAAGATCCGGTTCTTCCATCCCTTGTTGTTCCCGGGCAGCCCTTTGATCGCGCACATGTCTGCTCGGGATTGCAACATCAGAAAGCCGCCTCCGTAGCTGCCCGGGAGAACCTTTACTTGATAGATGTAGTTGAATAACTCCATCGTGCAAGCTGCTTCGTGCCGAGCGCAGATTTGGGGGAAGCAAGCTATGATCCTGTGCGAGTTGGAGCAGATCTGGGCCGGAACGACCCGGTAGTATCCCAAAAAGGCTGTCAGGAGAGGGGGGAAGGGAATAGCAATCGGGGCCATCAGGGAGTCATAGTGCATCCCGATCCATTTGCCCCGATGCCGGTCAATGACATTCCCGAGCCTCCGGCTCGTGTCGAACTCTACCCGACCCCCGAGCCTCTCAGCGATCCTGGCCACCTCACCTTTGGTTAGTCGGCTCCTTTGCTGTTCGACATTCTCGCTGTTCAAGAATTCGAACTATTCGGCTGCTGGTGCGGCCGGCCCAGCTGTGTCTTCCTCGGTCGGCTCGGGAATGTTCTCTCGGTCGTCTCCTCGAGGAATGGCTTCCGGGTGATCCCCAATCACCCGGGTCGGCGTTTCCCTAACGCCCTCGGTCGGGGAATCTCCTCCGCCTGTCGAGGTTCCTTCTTCTTCTTCGCTGGAACTCCCCGACCCGCTAGAGCTGGAGCTCGATGACCCGGATGAGCTTGATGCTTCACTTCGCTCGGGGGCTTGTACCGGTCGGTTGACGACCTCGGGAGAGTAGGACATGATGTCCACTTCTTCGTCACTGAGATGCTCGACTTCCTCGTCATAGTCCCCGATCGAGGCGTTTTGGCTGTCAGAGTCCGTCATTTCGATCTACCTAAAGGTCGGTCGGGTTAGTAGAGGACTCGAGATGTCCGGGACAGTTAGTTGCGACCTATCAGTTCTACTTATGAATGTAAATGCTAAGTAAGAGAGGGAGCTGAGAACTTACCGACTGAAGGTGCTTTGCGAAGAGAGCCTTGAAGTTTTTTGCTCGACTGCCTTGCTAAAGTGCTCTGCTCGGGACTCTCTGAGGGTACCGATCGAAGCAGTAGGTTGGAGAAAGTTCAAATGAGGGCCTCAAGGGCCTATTTATAGGAGGACATTTAGGCGGGAAACGAGTCCACTTGCGTGACACGACCCGCGCTGATTCTGAGGCGACCGTTGCAGTCACAGAGGCCGGCAGTGGCCGACACGTGGCGAAAGGAGGGAATGACAATTGGCTGGTCGGTTTGATGGCTGACGGTTGAGCTTCTTCATCCCGTTCTGTTTTTTCCTGGACGGTCAAAAAGGCCCGGGCTGGGGGGCTCTTGGTAGGGAATATCCCGACCGACATAGCTTTACCCCGACCGGTATGCCTTCGTCCTTTCCTTCTTGTTTTTGCAGGTAACAGGTCGGGCTTCTTGTGAAGAACCCGGTCGGGGTCCGACCGGGAATTGCCCGAGCGGCAGTGTCGACCACCGAGCGGTAGCCCTTTGGCGAGGGAGCTGACAAAGGACACGTGGCGGCTCCTTGCGACGACAGACAGGGCACCCGGGAGGATGACACGTGGTGGCTACGTGGAGAGCATGCTGAACGACCGGATTTGTGTCTCCGGCGCAGCGGCTATAAATACCCACAGTAGCTACAGTGTGGAGGACTTTTGGACGATCGATAGGTTGTTGTTAGAGAATCCCGACCGCAGTCAGTCGGTACTCAGAGCAACCAAGTAGATTGTACTTAGGGCCTTCACCATGATCAATAAAGATATTTACTTGCTTTAATTGGTCTTGAGTTTGTTTAATTATTGCTTGCGTAGTAATTAGCACTATCAGTACCATTGGTCGCAGAATGCCTTAAATTCTTTGCTTTCAAACTGGAGCCCATTGTTGGAGATGATTTGCATGGGGACCCCAAAACGGTACAAAATGTTCCTCCGTATGAACTCCGTGCACCGGGTGCTCGTGATGGTGGCGAGGGGCTCCGCCTCCACCCACTTTGTAAAATAGTCTATGGCGACTATTATGTATTTCCTCTTCGCGAACCCCATGGGTAGGGCCCCGACGATGTCGATCCCCCACCGTGAGAACGGGATTACCGTGTTGATAGGCGTGTAGCTGGTCGCTGGCCGTCCCGGCTCTGCGTGAAAGTGCTGGCAGGTCGGGCACCCCCGGGCGTACTCTGCGCATTCCTTGGCCATGTTTGGCCAAAAGTATCCCTGCAATAAGGCCCTCCTCGCCATGGCAAAGGCTCCTTGGTGTGCGGCGCAGGTGCCTTCATGTATCTCCTCTTTGATGGACTTGGCTTCGTCCGGGTATAGGCATTGGAGGAGGGCGCCGTTATAGGACCTTTTGTAAAGGGTGTCTCCAAGGAGGACGTATGTTGGTGATCTCCTCTTGACCGCCTTTGCGGCTGCCTCGTCTGCTGACAGGGTACCTGTTCTCTTATACTCAATGAGGTGGTCCAACCAGCATTGGGACCGCGTCTGTATGGGGAGGACAGGGTAGGCCTCCAGGCTGGACCTTTGGAGGTCCTCAATCCGTGCTATCCTGGAGACATGCTCCAGGGTGCCGAGCTTGGAGAGCAAGTCTGCGTCCCCGTTTTGACTTCGGGGTACCTACAAAATTTCGTAGAGGGTCAATTGACCGAGGACCTGGAGTACCACATCGCGGTGTATCCTCATTCTCTCCTCGTTGGCCTCGAATTCACCATTCACCTGTCCGACCACCAGTCGGGAGTCACACCGCTCCCTTATTTTGGAGGCCCTCAGACCCAATGCCAGCCTGAGGCCACCGAGTAGCGCCTCGTATTCGGCCTCATTGTTGGACAACTTAAAGTGGAAACGAAGGGCGTAGTAGGCCTGGAACCCTTCTGGGGTTACGAGGACCACTCCTCCGCCACACCCTTTGGGGTCGGACGAGCCATCCGTGGACAGGGTCCACCAATCCTCCTCATCGCTCCGGGCTAGTTCGGCGACCTCGCGATCGGTGCACTCGACTATGAAGTCGGCGAGCGCATGCCCCTTGATCGCTGGTCGAGGCTTAAACTGGACATCATATTGGCTCAATTGCATGGACCACTTGACCAATCTGCTTGCCGACCCTGAGGCCCTTAATACTGCCTCGAGGGGTTGGTTGGTGAGGACCCGTACGGGGTGTGCTTGGAAGTAATGCCCGAGCTTCTTGGCTGTGGCGTCCATGGCGAAGATCGCTTTCTTTGTGGGTGAGTAACTGGGCATTGGGTTCCCGCGTCATCCCGGACCAGTACGGAGCTGATCGCGGCCTGCGAGATGCCCAAGTACAGATACAAGACTTCCCCTTTCTCCGGTTTGGCCAGGGGGGGTAGCTCCATGAGGTACGTCTTGAGGTCCTCGAAGGCCCTTTGGCATTCGTCTGATCACTCGAACCCCTAGTTTTTCTTGAGGGCCCCGAAAAACGGCAAGGACCTCTCGGCCGACCTTGAGAGGAATCGGCCGAGAGCCGCCAGCCGACCATTGAGGCGCTGGACCTTGCGGAGGGATCTCGGAGGTTCCATCTCCAGGATGGCCTTGACTTTTTCGGGGTTGGGTTCAATACCCCTCTTTGAGACCATGTACCCGAAGAATAGTGCATTTCTTGGGGTTCAAACGTAAATCAAAATGCCTCATAATGGAAAATACCTCGGTCAAGTCGGCTATGTGTAGGTCGGCCTCCGTGCTTTTCACAATCATGTCGTCCACATAGGCCTGCAAGTTCCGGCCGAGGACCTTCTTGAAAACCTTGGCCACCATTCTTGTGTACGTGGCTCCCGAGTTTTTGAGCCCGAACGCCATGACCCGATAGCAAAAGACCCCTCCGGGGGTGGTGAACGCCGTCTTTTCTTCGTCATCCTCGTGCATGAAAATTTGGTGGTACCCCCGGAAGCCGTCTAGGAAGCTCATGAGTGCGCATCCCGCTGTCTCGTCCACCAGCTGGTCTATGTTGGGTAGTGGGAAGGGGTCCATGGGGCATACCTTGTTGAGGTCCGTGTAGTCTACACACATCCTCCACGTGGGCGGTTTGGGTGCGAGGACTACGTTCGCAAGCCATGCCAGGTATGTGACCTCCCTGATGTGCCCGATTTCAAGGAGGGTGTCGACCTCCTTCTTCACGAACTCTCGTCTATCTGCGGCGAGGTAGTGCTTCCTTTGTTGGACAGGCTTGGCTTTGGGGTCCACCTCCAGTTTGTGCGTGATGAACTCCCTGCTGAGGCCCGGCATGTCTTCGAGACCCCAAGCGAACACGTCTTTATAGCTGCGGATGACCTCGACAATCCGACCTCGGAGGTCGGCCGAGAGGCCTGTGCCCACCTTCACCATCCTATCAGGTCGGCTGAGGTCCAAGATGACCTCTTCCGTCTCCACCATGGGTTCGGCACGGGGCCGCTTATCTTCTTCCCTGAGTGCCCTCTCGGTTACTCTGTGTACCTGGAGGTCCTTCCTCGTTATTTGGCGGCAAGCTTCAAATAGCAACTCCGGCTAATCTTCTGGTCTCCTCTTGCGATGCCCACTCTAGTGGGAGTAGGGAATTTGAGGCAAAGCTGCTCCATGGAGATGACGCACCTAAGGTCCTCCAAAGCAGGTCTGCCGAGGATGATGTTGTGGGCGCAGCTGATCTTTACCACCACGAACTCTACCTCCCATGTCTTGACGTGCGGTGGGGTGCCGATCTGTGCCTTAAGGGTGACGGATCCCTCTGTTTCAATGGAAACTCCGGTGAAGCCGGATAGCAGGGTCCGAACCTGGGAAAGCTGCTTCCTGGATAGCCCGAGTTGCGTGAAGGTGTCATAATACATGACATTCACAAAGCTCCCCGTATCTACCAGTACCCGGTGGACAATGATGTCGTTAAGGTCCAAGCTGATTACCAATGCGTCCCGGTGGGGTAGGGGGCCATCCGGGAGGTCGTCGTCAGTGAAAGTTATGGGCTCCCTGCGTGTCCTCTTCTCATGGGATGCTCTAACGACTTCCCCAACGTACAGGCTCCGCGCCCACTTCTTCGTCTCAGTGGGTGTGTCTCCTTCCTCCGGGCCGCCGAAGATGACATGGATGACCTTCTTCTTTGGTGGGCTGTCTGGCTCGGTCTCCTCATCCTCCGTTAGTTGGCCAATCTTTCTTCCGCGGGACAGAGGTAGAGGGCCCGTCGCCATCCTTCTTCTTTCGGGTGTTGTCGGGGCCTTTAGCGTGGTCCTGCCCGGACCTCTTCAAGTACTGCCCTAGGTACCCCCGTTGAATGAGTTCCTCAATCTGCCTCTTGAGGACCATACATTCGTCGGTGTCATGCCCACGTTGCCGATGGAAGCGGCAGTACTTCTTCGGGTCGGCCTTGGGGGAGATCTTTAAGCACTCCTCAGGGAATGACACGATGCCCATGTCCCCTGCATGGTCCAGGATGACACTTACAGGCTGTGTCAACGGGGTTAGGTGCCGTAGCGGGGCTAGACGGGGACCCCGGTCACGTCGTGACCGGGGAGGGCGGCGATCCTCTTGAGGATGAGATGCCCTGTCGCCTTGTCCGCGGCCTTCCTCCTCCTCCTTCTTCCTCTTCTCTGCTGCCTCTGCGTTGGCGTACTGCGCGGCGCGGTCCGTCAATTCTGTGTACGTCTTCGGCTCATTCCGAACAAGGTCGTTATGGAAAGGACCCGACCTGAGGTTGTTGGGGAAAAATGGGATGGCGGACCTTTCGTCAAAATTTGTCACCCCCATAGCTTCCTTCTTCCACTTAGTCAGGTACTCCGCCAAAGACTCCGACTTATCTTGCTTCAGGTAACATAGGTCGGCGAACTGCTTCCGCCGTTGCATGCTGCCCGCGAAGTGCGACATGAACTTCTTGGTCAGGACCGCAAAAGTGGGAATGGAGTCCTCCGGGAGGGACCCGAACCAATCCTGGGCCTGCCCATCCAGAGTCGTGCAGAAACCGTGACACATGATGGCGTCATTAACGCCTGTCATCATCATGACCGCCTTGTACCTGTTGAGGTGGTCCCGCGGGTCCGTCGCCCCCGTATAGGGTTTGATGGTCGGGAATCGGAAGTCCCGAGGTAGGGGCTCGGCCATGTTGGCCCCCGTGAAGGGTGTGGCCAAGGCATCCGGGGGCACCGGTGACTCGTCGCGCGCCTCCATCTTACGCTGCAACTCACGGATCTGTCGACGCAACTGTTCCATCTCTTCACGCTGGGTGCTCGGAGGTTGGCCTCTAGTCTCCCCCGAGCGTTCCACTGGTGGGGTCGGCTCCCGCGGCCTCGGGACACGGGGTTCGTGGCTCCGGGACCTCCGTGAGCACGATGACTCCTCCTGCCTGACTTGTGTGGCCGGCCTCGGCTCTAGGGGGTCTCGCGCTGGTGCATGTGGGCCCAACCGCCCGAGCGCGGATGTGGTCCGCGCCAGCCGAGTCCGCATTTCCTCTCGCTGCTCGTGTCGGCCTCGGGTGGCTTCCGCCCCGTCGCGCCTCTCAGAAGGTCGTGGTGAATTGGCTTCCCCCTCACCCAGCGCTGCGGGTTCCTGGGGTGCGCGAGTGCTGGGGTCACTGCGCACCCTCGGAGGGGGCGGAGGTGGGGGTGCTGGGTCACCCCGGCGCAGCCCTGCCGCGACGCGGTTGAGCGCATTCGCCGCCTGCTCCAGTATGGCGGCATCTTGTTGGCAGGTCGGGACCTGCGGTGGCGCGGGTGGCGCTGTCCCACCGAGAGGGCGATTGTTGGTGAGACGACCCCGGAGGTCCTCCACGGCCCCCTGCCGACTCCCTTTAATCTGATTGCGGAGGTCTTCCCCGGCCCCCACGGACATGGCCTGTCGGCTCGCCACGGTCCCGTTGGAGCGGTTAACGAGGGCGAGGTCGCGTGGGTTGCGCGAGCCCTGCGAGTTATGGGTGTTCGACCCGGATCTTGCCATTGCTGTCAATGAAGGGTAATAGGGAGAGCGCTTAAGCTTGTACAGCCGCTTTCAACAAGAGCACCAATGATGGATTATATGAACCCGGGGGTCCGGATTATACAACCCGTATATATGTTTGAATATAAGACATAAATAACAAAACCATAAATATTATATTAATTGAGCATAAAACGATATTACAGAGGTTCGGGACGTGTAATAACAAGACAAATGTTGTAGGAAAAGTATGAGATGCCTAATTAGGACACCAGGGGGTGTTTATATACTCCCCGGCTGCTATGGGCCCTAGGCCCGCGGGAGGAGCCGCGGTCCGCGCCGCGGGACTCGCTCCACGCGAGGACCCGGCCCTTGGCCGAGCACGGAGCTCGGCCAATGAGCCGAGCATGGGCTCGGCCGAGCCCATGGGAGCCGAGGCCGAGCACACGTGGCCGAGCCCATGGAGCTCGGTCGAGCTCGGGGAAGTCGGCCCATGCCGACCCCCCACTGGGCCGACCCCGGGGTGGTTCGTCCTGCTCCGTGGGTGGGCACGGGGTCCGACCCGGTTCGTATTTTGTTGCTCCGCTCCGACTCTGTGATTATTCCATCAATAATAATAATAATCTTTATTTCCATGCTACCTTCTTCTTCTTTTGAGACATTTGCCATGACTACTATCATTTTTTTTTTGGTTCTTTTAATAAACATTCTTGACATGTTAGGGAGGTTAGCGCTACCTCCTTTCAAATTTGAGGAGGCGATGGGGATAAAAAAAAAAGTACCGGTGGCAAAGGAGATCGTCGTGTTGTCTAAAAATAAAGGATGATTCATTGAAAAATATGTATGAATTTAGAAATTAGTTTAGACTTTCTTTTTTGAATAACAATATTTTGTTTTTTTAATATATTTTAAATAAACACATGACGTGATCATCTTATCTTGCTATGTGCCTCAGCGCATGTAAAAGGCCAGGTCAGATTTTAGTCATTTTAAAGGCCAATTGATACTAGATGATTATCGGTTAATTAATCTAAATGCATCAAAATGACAAGTTTAAATATTTAATTGAAACTTTGTAAAGTTCAAAAATCTAATTGCTCTTTCATGTTGGTGGAGCTATTTGCCCATTTTTTTCCCTTAAAACTAAACCAACTTGAATAGCCATCAACCAAGGTTTTTTATTTCATCAATCCAAAGATGAATATATTCCTCCCTTTTTTATTTTTATTTTTAATTTTAATTTGAGAGGGAATGAATGAAGAGAAAATGAAAAATAAACAAGTCAAATGAGAATATATATTTTTTCCGATCAAAGA